ATTGGTCAGCGCTGTCCAGGGGCCTTCCAGCCTGCTTGTGACCGATGAGGGCCAACGGTCAAGTCTGATTGGTCCACCAGTGTGCCAGTCTTTAATCTAGTTTGTGATCAGAGTTAATCGGTTCAGACCGGCTAGGGTCTCCGTAATGCCTGCATTTTCCGCTTAGTTACGCTCACATTGCCCTCCTCTGCCTGGTCGTCCTTATTGCCCCTTTCTTCCCCTGTGCTTTGCCCTTTCTCCCTTGTGCTCTCAGACTTGGTACTTACGCCCTCAGACATAGAACTTTGAAACTGGAACCGCGAACCTCGAACCTCAGACCTTCACCTTGAACTTTGGACTTTAGACTTCGGAATGCCAATCTCGAACCTCGGACTTGACCCGCGCCTCGGCGATACAGACAATCCTGATCCACAATTGCGGGTAAGCTGAATTATGTCTGTTTATGTGTTTGTTCGTGTGTCTTTTTTCGAACCCGGCCCATCTCCGGTTTGAGCGTGGAATGAGCGGACCAGGCGGCCGGTTGTTCAACCTCCAGACGTCCGCCCATCTTCCCATCTGAAACATAGGCCTCTGGTCGGGCCTCGGAATTGTGTGGCTCCGAGTTAATCTCGTCTCAATTCAGAGCTCTCTTCGTGATCGAAAGACGGATGATTAAGTCTGTACCACAATTCGTTGAGTAGGCCTCACGATCCAATTAAATTTCACTCGGACTTGCCTCGCAAAGGGCTATCTCATGCCTAAAAGACACTCGGTGTCAAGTCTAAACATAACAAAAGCTAATAAATAGACTGGAAGCCTTCTTTCCGGGTTTAGCATACGACGAATAATCGGGTTTCAATTAACCTTTTGAAATAACATTGTTGGAGAGACTTTCATTTCGTAAGGAAGGGCATGACAAAGAGATTTGTTGGTTGGCCTCACCTGGAATCACGATCTATTTCCGTTGTTCGAAAACCGTTTTGCTTTAAAATGACGTTCAGGTTGACGCCGTCCTCTCTCGTTGCATATTAAACCCAATTGAACTTTCGTCTGTCATATGATGGACATTATCATAGCTGGAACTCATTCTACAGAAGTTTCAAGTTAACCCTAGGTCAGGAAAACTGCGTCAACCCAGACGTCGTATTAAAGCCAAACGGCTGCATACCAATGGAAATCAGCTGTCATCTCCTGGCGAGATCGACCTTTGAATCTCTCCATTAAGCATTTTCTTACGAAATAAAAGTCTCCACAAGACACTTTAGTGGTCCAATCTTGCCTTAGCGATATAATCGCAGTTTAACAGGAGTTTGCTCACAATCCAAAACAATTTTCTGAATAAAATCACGCGTCAGCATCAGGAATTCCATAAACACCCAGTCAGCCTAAGTCACTTAAGATGAGTTAAAGACTATTAATTGAGTTCTCCCACATCGAAATGAGTAGGCCTCATCCTCGACAGGGTTCTAAATGGTGCTGAGTACTAGATGATCACAGGACGAATATGTGGCATTCATTCCGTATGGATGTCGATCAAGCAAGCATGTATTTAACAATACACTCGATGACGTTGCTTATTTCTGATTTAAATAGTTTCTGATATTAACAGTAATTCTTAAAATAGAACTTTGTCCTTTGAGGTTGCTTAAAGCATAAGTTAATTTTTTCTCACAATAACATAAGTTAGCTCCACATACAATTAAAGTTCATTCATCCTCTTCTGTTATGGAGACCTTTTCGACCTCACCTCGGTCTCGCCAACATCCCTAAAACGGGATTTGCACCAGCAACGAGTCATATGGCTGATGGAACCAAAATGTTGGAAGAGGAAACCTATCGAGAGGTAAGGATAAGTTAACTTAATTGACATCTTTTTTGCCTACTCATGGCGTTGTAGCGATGACTCCATCAGGGTCTAGATCACTTTAAGCAAATTAAGTGAATTCACCTTTTCCTCAAAATCTCTACCAACCAGCCAGATGGCCTGTAATGGAAGCGGTTACTCGCTTCTCTTCTCCACTCATCATCAGGGGCGGTCTTCTCGCACATTTCAACAATCAAAACTTCAAAGCAATTCTCCTAAGGCTTCCGGTGAGACCAATTTATAAATCCCGCCTTTTCAAAATAAATGAAAAGTATACCTACATCTATCTAATGATAGGCTGTTCGGTACCCAACTTCTCCAGACATCAAAGACATTTGATTTGTGCTATCTCCTAGCATCAACTGGCCTCATGCAATTGGAGAGGAGGCCGATCGTTCTTTTGGCTTGTCGGGTCATGTGAAGCTAGCAAATGCCTCCGCTTGGCGATTGCTTATCCACTGAAAACTGCTTTATATTATTAGGGGGATCTTCATTTCGAATGAAAGTACATGATGAAGAGATTCGTTTGTCGATCTCACCAGATGAGGACGCGAAATCGTTGTACTGCAGCCGTTTAGCTTTTATATTATATTCATGTTGACGCAGTCCACGAGTCTTCCTCCCCCGTTTCGGGGGAAAACGTGCTGAGCTTTCGTTCATCATATGATGGACATCATCAGATTTTATGACACTTACAGTAATTTCAGCCTCCTGTGTTCTGTTTCTGGACGTGCCCAGCCGGACGGCATTCTTATATTACCAACAAGCTTATCTTTCCCTGTCCCAGATATTGTCCTGACTAGACTTCAGAGGAAAGCTAATTAGTTGGAGGCATGACATCGGTGTAAGTAGTTTCCGATACGATTTTGTATGAATGTGTGCGTTTATGTTCATGTGCACACACACAAATCAGCTTCTGCGATTGCGTAAAAATGCCGAATGAGTTGACGTGCTTTTTCTACAAGGCTGCTTTTTGCCTGGTGTGTGCGTAACTAATACCTAGACTAATTGGGCGGCTTTCTTTTTGTACGTGGCCAACCCCGTCAACCAAACACAAGTGATTCCTAGTGTTGGTTCCACCTTGTTTTCACAACTCGGTTGGAGCGTCAGGGAGACCTTGTGGAACGTATCTAGTCCTGTGTCCTCTGTCATAATATTCGTGATTTCGAGTAGTGAACCATTGGCTAAGTACATTCCCAAACGTTTCGCCTGCATCGTATTCGGCATCGTCAGTCAAAGGCTGTCTCATAAGTACAGAGTTAGAACTTAACAGTGACAAGTGAAGGCAATACTTTCGACCAATTTTCTGTTCAACCGTTGTTGCATCATTCCTTGTCCCTATTTTTGTTCTACATCATAGTGCCGCATCTCTTTCTCTCAATCCCACTTCATATAGCCCATCCACTTATTCACACAATTATGTGCTCTCAGTTCCACCTATGTCGCCTAAAAGTGTGTCGCTACACGTGGGTTTAGTGAAGCGAATTAATCTGCACTACTGGTACCAGATGTCGTTTGCAGGGCTCCTGATCTACATTCTGCCCACTTTTTCCTATCCCGCTTGTCAATTGGTCGCTGCTAAACATCAAATTAAGTGTAGAGCTTACTTCCATTTCAAGTAAAATTGTTTGATGAAGAGATTTCAAGGTCGATCCACCAGAAGACGACGGTGGATTCCTCTTGACCAGCTGTCTTTTTGCTTTATTGGAACATACATGTCGGCGATGTTGCCGAGGTAATCTTCTTCGATTCCGGTGAAAACTTGCTGAGCTTTCGTCAATCATATGACAAACATCATCAGAGCAAGGCAGCATCCATACAACCAAATTCAAGCTAACGAGTCCAGAAAATTCGATGGCACATACCTAAAAAGGTGTTTAAGTACTTTGTGTCTGACCTCTTTGATGTGGTATAAAGTGATTTAGTTAGCTCCAATCATATGTCAACCTCGAAGCATGTCAGTGGGTTTGTCGTTGTATGGATATGTGCTTTTTATGTGTTTGTCTATGCATTAAATCAACAGTGATGGCTCAAAGTAATTAGAACATCAAGAGTGACGTTTTTTTCTCGGCCATCAAGGTTTGATGACCACTATACATACATATTATGCAGATAACTCCGATTGCGCAGTCGGACACACTTCTAGTCATGTTGATAAGCGATTTTTTTGTATTTTTGTCTCCATATGAGAGAGAAAGTGTACTGAGAAGTGACTAGTACTAGAAACAAGACAGTAAAATGCTAAAAGTTTTTATCTCATTACAGAATAGAGCGAACAGTCTGGCGGATAGGATGGATAAAATCTATAGATCCAAACATGATAAGAAATTAAGGAATTAATTCATTTACATCAGCTCAATGAATTCTCGAAACAATAAGGAGATGGTTAAACTTTTTGAAAATTGCTCTAGAAAAAATAAAGTGGTCAATTTATCTAGAGCTGCTAATTTTGC